CACACACACACACACACACACACACACACACACACACACACACACACGTAATCTATACTCCCGGACTCATTAACCACGTCATCATAGATGCTTTATGTTATTGTCTGAATGTCTTTCTTTACGTCTGTCTTCCATGTTCATGTCACTATATGTTTTTTGACACAATGCTTCACCAAAAAAGAAAATCCATAAACATGACAGGTTTATTTCCAACATTAATGTCTGTTCTGTAATGTTCTTGTGATACAGAAGAAAAATATATAAATAAGGGGGAGTTACCGAGTTATTGTATTGTCCTCATGAGGCGGATGTGAAATCTTGTTGTCTTAAGAAATTCACCGTGTGCGTCCTGAGACTGTGACCCTGTTGTCTCTCCGGGACAGCGCATCAGCAATTTTCGAGGACTCCGACTGCGGGAGCCTTCGAACAAAGCAGGCTCGCTGCCGAGGGGGGAACGGAGCCGAGCTGGACTCCGGTCAGCCTGACACCCTGCCAGACCACCGGCTCCGAGACCTCAATGAGAGGCAGGTGGGAGGTCTGGGCATTGGCTTTCCAATTAAAAAGCAGGCATTTGCAACAACAGCCCATTCACTGCCTGCAATTTTCTTTTTCCCCTGAACTAGGACTGCAACCGATGATCATTTTCCATTACAGTCAGTCTGATGGTTACTTCATCGTTTTGCCTATAAAATGTCCAAAAACATTTGATATATATTAACGTGAAACCGAGATTAAGTCGGCAATCCTTCACATTTGAGAAGACAAAAAGAATGTTTGTTGCATTTTTTGCTTGCAAGGTGTGAGGTGTTAGGTCAGTAGAGTGGAGCAGAGGTTATCAGTTGTGCTGCGTTGCACTACTGTGAGGCAGGAAGCTAAGGAGCGTGCAGGCAGATACTTTGGGTCACATCCAACAGGACGTATCTGGGATGGGTCGAGACGTGTATGAGATGTGCTGCCCCTATATTATATACAACACTGTCTTCCTGCGCATGTCCCTGCCTCATGTTTCCTCCCGCATGTCGTCCCTCCCTGTACTCGGCTGGCTGGCTGTCTCATTAAGAAAACAAGGCACACGCCGCAAATCGCCACAATTACGCGAGGAAGTACACGTGCATGAACACACGGATGCCTGACACACCGGGCTGTCAATAAGGATGGATGGGTGTTTGTTTTTTGCTATTGTTAGCGTATCATCCAGTGACCCACTTTCTAATGGATAAACCATATAACTGTAGATGAGACAAAAACAAGCACATAAAAAAAATTCCAAACATCCTGGCAACATCGTGCCAAGAATCAAATCCAGGGGAAAGATGATTATACTGTAGAAACAACGGCTATAGATCTAAATATTGTGTGTGTGTGTGTGTGTGTGTGTGTGTGTGTGTGTGTGTGTGTGGACGTCAAAACCCACCCTCCTCTTCAGGCGGTCCCTCTCCCTCAGTGTCAGCGTGTCGGCCTTGGCAATGACCGGGACTATGTTGACTTTGCTGTGGATGGCCTTCATAAACTCCACATCCAGAGGCTTTAGGCTGACAAAGAAAGAGATCATGAAATAGAAAAAGAACAATGAGGACGCAGTCAAAAAACATTGAGAAATAAAATGTTTTTTGAGGGGGTGGGACAACAGAGAAATAGGAACAGGCTTCTTTAAGGTAATCTTCAATGTGCTTGGTTACCCGTGTCCAAATGGAGATATGAAGTAGAAGCAGCAGTGCACCCTGTTGTCCACGATGTGCCTTCGGTTCAGGCCGCTCTCGTCGTGGAGGTATCGCTCAAACTGATTGTCGATGTACTGGATGATAGTCTTGAAGCTGACATCGGAGACAAACAGAGAGGCAGAGAGACGGACGGAGACCCTTAAAATCACGCCAAATAACCGTTAAATTACAGCTGCACTTTGTATAGTTGCAGAAAAGTTGACATCTTGTTATATCGGTAATAAGTGATCCGTTTCCTATCACCAGAAAAAAAACAGGATATATGCTACTTTCAAACCTTGTGTTCATTACCGGCTGGTGTGATAAAGACAAAGTTTAACTGATGAATGCATTAAATCATCTTCTGGGCAGAAAGCACAGCATGACACTTTTTGCCTTTATTAGACAGATGACAGCATAGAGGCAGAATGGAAATGGAGGGAGAGGGAGAGAGCATGCAACAAAGTTGAACCTGTGATGTTGCGGTATTACAGCATGCATTGTAACCATGCATTCAGTAGTTCTTTAAATTCGTTAAAACCCTGCAATTGCACCCAACTTAACTGATATATGTACAGTTAAAGCGTCTATAATAAGCAGAAGCTTGCTTTATTAACTTTTAAACATTATTTATCTTATTATTGAGAAGGTGACAAGAGACATATTCTGCAGAGAGAAAGCAAAGAGCGGGTTGTTTCTGTCATTTCATCTCGTTCGCAGTTGTGTCCTTTTTGTTAGCCTTCGTCGGGAGAGTAAACGTACAGCTATGTCGGAACAATCAACAAGAAATAGAGGATAGCACACAGGCGCGCACACACACACGGCTGAAGGAAATCTAGACATAGGGAATGCAGAGGGAGGAAGTAGGGAGTTTTTGGGATGAAACTTGAGAAAGGGAGTCATTGAGGACAGGAGGGGAAGGATGAGAGAGCACGCCGGTACAGGAAGCACGTCCCAGGAAGCACGTCCCAAGCCGCCGCCTCCTCCTCCTCCTCCTCCTCCTCCTCCTCACACACACCAGTCCTGGCTGTTGATGGCGTCGCCGTATCCGGGGGTGTCGACCACGGTGAGGCGAAGCTTCACCCCTCGCTCCTCGATCTCCACAGTCGACGCCTCGATCTGCACCGTCCTCTCAATCTTCTCTGCGGAAGCGGAAGCACGGGAACAATTAACCGTTGGCCTCGGGAACCCGAGTGGAACTTTATCATTTCTTTAAAAATCCTGCCCGAGCTAAGTGCTGACACGCAGCATCTGCCGCAACCGCAGGCTTCAAAGAAGGTGGATATGAAATCATGGGTTTTGTCATCTAAAAGAGCTACCCTTTTCTTTTCTCCCTTATCTGCACAGACCAGGGAGGGCCTGGATAATTGTTTTCAAGCCAGAACAAGTCCTAACCTAAGTCAAGTCATAAGAAGGGGCAGGGTCATATTTTGAGACTCAGGCATTCCCAACATTCCTCTTGAAATAATGCGCTGCTGGAGACATTGCGCCAGACATTTCTCTATTATTATTACAGTGTGCACATTTGTGTATGTGTATGCATGTGTGTGTGTGTGTGTGTACCTGCTGCACCGGGGATGTAGCGTTCAGGGTAGAGATCAGTGAGAAACAGGCTGTTTATCAGCGTCGATTTGCCCAGACCAGACTCTCCTGAAAAAACAATGAGAGAGAACGGAGATTAAAAGCTCTATTCTCTAAAGACATTATGTAGTCTACTTTTAAAAGAAAAGCGCGATCACTCGCCTGCAACCATGAGGGTGAATTCAAACCCTTTTTTCACGGACTTTCGGTGCACTTGGTTCGGGAGGTTGGCGAACCCGACATAACCCGCTGCATCTGGGAACTGCAGAGCACAATAAAACACATACAAATTGTTCAAAATGAAGGTCAGAAGCTGCAAATGAATGAGGAAGTATTGAAATAGTCACAAAAACATGTAATGATAGTAGATACAGTTTCATGTGATTTCCTACGTTTTACAATTTTCCATAACTTTATTAGGGAAGAGAAGGTGCTAGTGAGTGTGTACGAGTGAGGTTGATGATGATGCCCGATCACTGAGACGTTTCAACAGGCAATAAAGCCTGGCCACTGAACACTTACACTTGTATACAGGATATCCCCTCTGGATGCCTGTGCGAGTGTGTGTGCATGAGATTAGGAGCAGCATGAGTGTTAATCACTGCTGCCTTATTAGAATCCCCTCCTGAATACTCTGTGCGGCTGTGGTGTGTGGTGGACATTTGGGCCCGTTACTCACCTTCCCTTTCTCTCCAGACTGAGACATCGCTGCTGCTTACTGGATGTCTGATGACGGAAAAAAAGAAGAGATAAAGCGGTGAATGAAATGAGATGAATCATCATAAAAAAACAGCTTCGTGTAGCTTCCTCCCTGCAAACAGCAAAAAAAACACTTCTTCCAGGCATCTTGATTAAAATATTTCTCCAGAACCGTAAAAATAAAAAATACGTTGCTTAAACTCACACTGTAATGTAATTCACAAGTTTTTGTATTCTTTAAGTGATGTATTATCTATCCAAAGGAAACCATAAGCGTCTATGAAGTCAAGTCATGGAGAATGACATTTAATAATAGTGCTGATTCTTTTGTGCAACCAGACAATGTTGCTTTTGTTCACTTTGATCACATTTTCTTTTGATTTCCAAATGTAATTACTCGCCGCGGCTCAAACTCTCTCCTGGTAAAATGTGTTAGAGACACAAATATTTCTGCAATTAAGCTGCTTTGCTGTAAGTAAATCTGTTTAGGTTTGACATAAGGAATCCACTGAGCCCGATATGTTGCATTGCAACATTGCAACATAACTTTCTTAGCTGCCATAGCTGCTTACTCATTGCTCCCACAGGGGCTTTGCTCTGAATCGGTTGTTGATGCTCTCTTTGTAAAGCTAAAGTCAAATCTTTGCCAGAAATGCTAGAAATGGGTCTTTATCTAAATGAAATCATACAAAAGAAAGAAAAAAAAATCACCATATTGCTATCAAGCTGTTCTGCATGAAGGCTATACTATAAATTTGTGTCGTTGTATGGCCCACCCTAAACCTGACCTAACAAGACGTCCACATGGCCACGACAGAGCGATTAGACATCAGGACCCGTAGTTTCAGTTTCAGTAATCTCCATGACATGTGGCTAATTATTTTAAACAGGAATCACAAAAGAGGACTCCACCTCAGGACATGTATGTTGTAAACTGTAACTGCACATGGAGTCGGCTTCACGACGGTCATTATTCGGGCTGTCGTGACGACCACCCTGTTCTTTAACACTATCACGCTGAAGGAGCAGAGATTGAGTGCCCCTTGGCAACAAAGGGTGTTCCCACACTACCATTTAACTGTCCTCTATGCCCCCCCCCCCCCCACACACACACACACACACACACACACACACTCGATGACCCCGAGCAGACGACAGAGCAACAAGCCCGCTTGATAAATTAGCTACATAATGATGGAGCAGGAAGAACAGGCTCTGTTTTATCACCGACACACTGGCCCTTGACAGGTGGAGTGTGATAAGCATTAGAACGAGGCAAGCCGCCGTGTGCTGCCAAACGGAGATGCACTCTGGTTATGTAATGGTAGTTGGGGGGGGGGGGGGGGGGGGGGGGGCATGGGAATCTGGATTGACCTTCTCCTATTTGGCATGAGACAAACGCACAGTTGCGGACACTTTGGAAAGAATTTCTCACCGTTATATCCATTAGATGGTAGTTGTTTTTTTGTTGTTTTTTTGGGGGGGGGGCTCTGTGTGTGTCTAACGTGAAAGTAGGCAGAGAGCTCTCATACTGACAGCGTGGTTTCACCGAGCCCGCAGGGAGAACAATGGCTGTTTATCCCTCTGGTTCCTGAAGCCTTTCCTATATAGGGCAGCTCAGCTGTGGGGAGGAGGGAGAACACGTACCTCACCCCTGACCACATTCGGGTCCCGACCGCATAGCAGGACAGCAAGGGGGAGACACTGATAATATAGGGAGGAGGGGTGCCAGGTTGGAGGGCCACAGGGTCAAAAGGTTAACCCAGTTAAACCCAGTGTAAATATAAGCACTGACATTAAGAATGAATGGATTTCCTGGTCTTCTATGATAGTAAAATTAATATCTTTCGGGCTTGGGACAGTTGAATTTGTCAACCTTGGCTCTGGGAAAGTGGGATGGACATTTTTCACAATTTTCTGATATTTCATGGACCAAATGATTCATTGTTCAGCCTGATTGTTTCCCAATGTTAACCGTCCTACACCATCGTTTTGACCTGAAGGCAGAGCTGCATAGAAATGTTGGGGAATAACCAAAGTTATCAAAATTCATCCTGTGAAGAACGTGAATGTGTGTCCCAAATGTCCCGACACTTCATACAAAAGCTGTCAAAAAGAATTTTCTTAAAACCATAAAATGTTGATCTGGTGGTGCTACTCAGATGATCTCCAAAGTCATCGGGATGCATCCTCTGGGGAATATGAATCTGTTCGTAAAATATGTGCCAATCAATCTAACAGGTGTTGAGAAATTCTATTGGATGAGTGAAAACTGAGCTGCTGGTGATGAGAGAGGAAAAGTCATCAAAAAAAATTAATTGGGGTTCATCCTCTGGGGATCATCGTGGATTTATGCACGATGGTCTCGTGGCAAAAATAAATAAATAAATAAGTGATGGACTGCCTAAACAACCCAATTCCTATACCCACAACACTACCGTGGCTCAAACATTAGGTTCAGTCCTAAAAACACGACAAAGATGATAATAAATGTGCTTTCATTGTTAATGAACGTCTCATTTAATGTAGCGGCCCACACCCACACACACACACACACACCCCAAGTGTTATTCCTCGACAGGCTCTGTGGGAACCAGCGTTTATCCCGGCAGCAGATTAATTAAAGCGCTCCAATATCGCAGTTGTAATATCACAAAGACAACACTACAGGACAGACAAGGCAGGAGGTACACTTCAATAAGACTCTCTTAATAACGGCCATTTAATCGGCCGGGCTGCTGAGCTGCTTGCTTACACACACACACACACACACACACACACACACAGACACACACACACGGGGAGATTAAACAGTTTGGGCCAAACAGGGAAAAACAATGCCACCTTAGTAAAGCCAAAGTGCTTGGCATGTAATGCATTTACAGTTGATTTATTGGCTGGAGGGAAGCCATGAAGGGGGCAGCAGCAACAAGGCTGGTAGAACTATTCACCTTCCTGACGGGCAGAGCCGAGGGCCCGTTAACCCGCCTCCCCGTGGTTTGAAGTCTTTCTGCTCTCGTTGGAAACATTGAAACAATAATTCCACACCGTGGAGATTTTGTGAACTCTGTGGCACGACCACAAAAAACGGTAATTTACTGGCAACTGATCACGGCAACAAGGGACCCGAGAGGTAGCGAGCATAATGAGGTGAGGTTTGGGGGGGGGGGGGGGGGGCTTGACTGTAATCAAGTATCCCCTTGGGGACCAAAGGTAGTAGTGGTGAGAGACAGTAATAAAAACTATGATTCTGTTTTTTAAGCCATGGTTTTAGAAACACTATATAATATGAGCCAGGGGGAGACGGGCGGGGGCGGGGGCGTACAATACACGGAATGAAAAAGCCTTTCAAGCATAAGGAAACCAGCAGGACAGGTTATAATACACACACACACTTGAAAGTACAGGATGGGCCATTTATGATGATGGGGACAGGGGAGGAAATTACTCAAAACAAGTGGGAGTCGTACGGCATCAAAATGTTATCATAACACTGCTACTCACACAGCTGCTGTACAGTACCATGAAGTTTAAGGTGGGGGGGGCATCGATGATTAATAGTGAAACTAACACTGTGGTGCGGTTAAAGGTTAGTCTCCATGCTCGTTCCTGGTGATAGAATCTGTATGTTTTGTTAACGGGCATTTGGATGTGAGAATATAGCAAATTGATTAATGAAATAAATAAATTTCACAATATATATTGTTATGAGAGGTTACTCAACTAGGAGAACAAGTGTTAGTTGCAGCCCTGAATTGAGGTAATCATAGCCTCGTTATGCCTATTTAGTGAGGGCAGACATATTTCTTTGACCGACAGGTTTAAGTAAATTAAATGTCAAACCGGACAATGTTATCAGAATAAATCTATACTCATAGGGATGAAAGTTATTCCTTCACCCGGTGTTTCTTGTGAACAAAGGTATCCTGCTGCGTGACTCACACAATAGTCCAGGTCCACTCTGGTCTGTCAACTTTTTTGTTTTTTCTATTCACACCACAATGCAAAACGGGAGGAAACGTCCTCTCGTAGTTAATAGTGTCAGACAGATGTCTTCCCAGCTCAGTGTTTGTGAGACAAGATCGCAGGAAGGTGAAAGGGTCAGAGAGCGGTTGAAGGTGCTGCATCAGACGCCCGAGACGTCTTTCGGGGCTCAGAGATGCTGTCCTCCTGACAGAGAACGGAGCGCGGTCTAGCCGGGTATAAAGCTAAATTGTTTCTGAAGTAAAGTGCAGCTGCCAGCCCGAGATTACAGCTCACACACAGCTCTGTGCCCGCGTTGTTCACCACTCAGCAAGAAAAGGAAGTGAAATATGCATGTTTTCACTGAGCCAAAAGCACAAGCAAAAGATGGATGATAACTCTTCAATGGTGGCCCTCAGCCACGTCTCAAGACGGACACATAATGACAATATGTAATTGTTTCCCCGCTGTTATTGTGTAAGTTGTCCAAACACAAAATTTATTTTGCGCAAAACATGCCCTTACAATCAAAAGGTCAAGGATTAATCGGATGTTAGAGAGCGATTTCAGGGTTCAGGAATGTTACACAAAGCGGGTTTTACAGGAAATGTGTGGAAGTCAATGCTTTGATTTAAAGATTTTTTTGTTGTAATGGGGCTGATTTAGGAATATGTACAGGCCCACTGAAGTGTGGGGAGTTTCCCTGCAGTTAGATCAAGTATGGACTGGAACAATGGGACAATAAATGAGCTCAAAAGGCATTGAGTGTTTTTTTTAAATAAAAGGTATTGGACATTCATCTTTGCAGTGAAAATCTGAAGAGGAGGGAATATTTACTTTTGTGTCAAATAAGTGCGGAGATTATAAATCGATGCTCGAGTCAGTGGATAGGGGAGATTGAAGGCCTTTGTAACAGTTGGATGTCCACCACACCCAGTCTGACAGACACTCACTGAGTCTCATTTCTACGTGCGCAGATAAATACCGTATTTACTTAAACTGGGATTTCCTCTTTTAAAAGTATTTTGATAAACCGACTTTGAGTGTAATACGGGTCTGAAACTTTGTCAACGTTAACATGTCAAACTGTCGCAAGCAACAGTTGTTACCGCGGCTGGTGTCGTGTTGCCAGCAAAGCTTCAACGGACTCTCCGGTGTGTCTTCTTCTTCTTCCCTTCCGTCTTATTCAAACACGTTGTTTAAAAAAAAGAACACGAACATAAAACAACAAACCACGGAGCAGTTCCTTACCTGAGAGTAACTTTGAATAAGTGTTAATCAACTGGAGCGTTTGCCTCTTGCCGCTGTCCCAGCCCAGGAAGGGAAACCCGGAAACCGTTCCCGTGAGTCGGCTCCGCCCTCATCCCCGAAGGCTTGTCATTAGGGTTTCTTGTTGCTCCGCCACTGGCGCCATTACGGTTCAACGGCCAGGACGGCTGTCCCAGCTAAACATCATTCTGTTTAGGATCCAACATGGCGGTCCAAGTGTGACAGTTTCTATAACTATTCGCCCCAGTAGAAGGCATTTTCCCCCTGTCGACCCATGACTTCGTGGGAATGTTTGACGTTGAACTATTTGATATAAATTGTACATTTAAAACCGGCAAGCTATATCTGGCTTTGTTACGAAATATATTTTACTAGATTACACTTTCTATATGACCACGAAGTGTACATACAATATTTAAATGCTCTGGATATCCTATGTTATATCCAGTGGTGGAAATCAAGTCGCCTATTGTTAAATATATTACACATTTTGTACTATTTTAGGTCCTGGTATTTCCATTCCCATGTTAATTCATTTTATTCTACTTCACTAATTTCCGAGGAGTAGCCCACTTTATGTATTTGACAATCACACATTACTTTACAGATCAAATGTTTGCATACGAAACAAAACCAATGATGAGCTTTTAAAAACATAACTAGTTTTTAAACGGACAGGCCTACACAGCTAGCTACCCAATAGCAAATCAAGCATTTAAAATCAATTTAAATGAAATGATTGATACCAAAGTACTTGAATAACAATTTGAATGCAATTACTTTTAGCAAAGTATTTTCACATTGTGATAGTGCCACTTATACCTCTTGTAATTACATAAAGCATATCCTGGTTTAAATATGCACTAGTGGATTGTATTCTGAAATGTATATAGGTTGTGCAAAAACACCACCAAAGGCTCGTTATGGGATATTTCCGGTTTAAATTTGAACAAAGTATAATTAACAATGAAGTTCCTGACAAGTCATTATATTTCAAATTATTTTATACTTTGAGTTAAACCCACCAACATATATATATATATATATATATATTAAAAACATAATACAAAAACACATATTCAATAACATGGTATAAACACATAATACATACATAATAATCACAAAATCATTTTTATGAATTCATATATAAAGAAGCAAGAAAAACTTGATTTCAAGAATCAAATAAAGAACATTTTATATAATCCAAACGTTTTAGTGAATTTAATGTGTGACGGCAAATTGTTCCGGTGAAGGGAAGCCTTGATACTTGTTACATGTTTCTGTCGGACAGGGAAACAGAAGAGGATCTGGCTCTCTTGGTAAACACACTGAGATAAAGCTGTTAAGGCTGCTTCAATTTAAAGTGAATAGCCTGCATTTAAAATAAATATGACATGTTCTTTTCTTTCTTCCTTTTTGTGTCATTTTAAGACAGACAATTAAGAGCCTCTTACACAATTGGGTGTGAAATGACCATTTTAAGCTGCGTGTACACCGCAGACATGTGGCATTAGCCTCCATGTCTGAAAAATCAATAACAAGTGGCGTGATTCACCCAACCACTGCATTTTAGCTGCTCCACAGCCTTAAACCCCCTCTCACCCCACCGTGCGCCTTCGAACCCTCTCCTGCTCCCCCTATTCATTGTAAATAACTGTTCAAACGCACAATGCGCCCTGGACCGCTTTATTCAGCCTCACAACTTCCCTGCGTTTTCATTGGTCCCCCGAAGATGCGGCGACAGCTGATTGGATGGAAAGTTTATCCTCTAGTCCGTACACCCCCCCACCCACCCACCCACCCACCCCGCAGATATTCGTGATCCGGTGCTTCTGTGATTCCAGTTGTTTTCACATCGCCTCAACCAACAAAGAGACCCGGAGCTGCTGTCTCTTACATCTCCAATGTGGTGATTGATGCGCAACTAACGACCGACGCTCCTTCACGTCGAGGCGAGAACTAAAGAGCAGAAATATACCTTTGCACTCCAGAAGATACATTTGGGAGAGAGTTTTAAAAGTTCCACACGGACTTGACTGAACGCAAAGAGCGAAAATGGTGTCGGCCGGACTGGAGATCCTGGGACTATCGCTGTGCGTATTCGGCTCGCTCCTGGTGATGGTGTCGTGCGGGCTGCCCATGTGGAGGGTGACGGCGTTCATCGAGGCCAACATCGTGGTGGCTCAGACGATCTGGGACGGCTTGTGGATGTCGTGCGTTGTGCAGAGCACGGGCCAGATGCAGTGCAAGGTGCACGACTCCGTCCTCGCGCTCAGCCACGACCTACAGGCGGCCAGAGCGCTCACCATCATCTCCTCGGTGATGGGCGTGCTGGGGCTCATGGTGGTGATCGCGGGAGCGCAGTGCACCAACTGCATCCAAGCCGAGTACGTCAAAGCCCGGGTAGTGAACGCTGGAGGGGTCATCTACATCGTCAGCGCTCTGTTTGTGCTGGTGCCCCTCTGCTGGATGGCCAACAACATCATATCTGACTTCTACAACCCGCAGGTGCCCGGGTCCAAGAAGAGGGAGATCGGCGCCGCGCTCTACATCGGCTGGGCGGCCACGGCGCTGCTGCTGATCGGGGGATCGATGCTGTGCTGCTCCTGTCCATCCAGCGGGAACTCTGGATACTCGGTAAAATACGCACCGACCAAGAGAGCCACGCCGAACGGGGACTATGACAAGAGGAATTATGTGTAGTTTATGTGTGGCTCGCGGACGGCGGTGCGCAAAAGTGACCTGCAGCTATTGGAAAAACTTAATAGTTGCACCTGCAGTTGTTGTTTTTGTTTTAGAAATCTGAACTTTGAAAATCAATGGATGCACATATGCTGTTTTTTATACACTGGCCATTCAAAACGCTCGGACCACACATTCACAAATCCTTTTTGTATCTACAAGAGATTTTTTTAATAGTCTATCGACTACAAGACGTATGCTCTCAACAAAAAGGAGGATCTTTGTTAGGTACCTGCTTTCGTATCTTAGACATTATTAGTGTTTTGACTTGTTTACCGCTGTAACTGCAAAGTTTTTCTTATCTAGAGGAGCTCTTGCCATCGAATATATACATTCTTCTTCTTTTTTTTGCCTTGATGTGCATTGTCAGCACAAACTTGTACAGTAACC